TGTATCTCCATTTACTCCACTTAATAGAGATATCCGTAAGATTATAATGAAACGTTGAGGGAGATCCACAATTGCCCTCTGAGTTTCAAAACCCACCACTTTTTTCATACCAAAGAGCCCCCAATCTAAAGGACCTTTTAGTTAAATCAGATATTGGCAGCTCAAAGAGACAAACTAGGTTTTTTTCCGAACCAAAGAAAGGCAATTTTCCATGTTTGGATGGCTCACACTGCAGCAATGTGATCAAGGGGGAACATTTTGTTCATCCCCGATCTGGTAAAAAAATTTCTGTTAATGGTTTTTACACATGTAACTCTGACTATGTTGTGTACATTTTAAAGTGTCCATGTGGATATGTATATGTGATGGAGACCATCAGACCTGTTAAAGAGCGCATAGGGGAGCACAAAAGGAGTATCAGGGCAGCTTTACAATGAGGAGTTTGTGAGGCACCTGTACCCAGACATTTCAGGTCTCAAGGCCATGGGGTCAACCGATTAAGATTTCAGGTCATCGATAGAGTCCCACCCTTGCGGAGAGAGGTAGACAGACAGAGACTCTTGTTACAAAAAGAAACAAAATGGATTAGTATCCTAGAGACTGTCACCCTCTGGGCTCAATGAGGATTACGATTCAAAGCATTTCTTATAACAATGTGTCCTGTTGGCATATTCTTTTAATTATAAATGGCTGTTGTAAGCTGATTTACACCTTGTGCTCCTTACAGTGTTTCCATTAGACTGGTCCGATCCTCTTTTACAGCAACAATTTGACCTACGAAGGTCTGTAACCTGGCAGACATTAGACAGGATCCCTCACATTGGGTATCTTTGGATACTTTGGGAGACTACACGACTGGTAAGTTATATATTCATTTTTTGGTTATACAAGATCTCTGTTTTTGGATTTTGGATTTTATTATTTTTCTTAATTTTCAGATTTTTTTGAATTATATTTTGTGTTCCATTTTTTCTGATTCATCCATTGGTCTTCAGCTGCAGGTGAGCAACTGTAAATAACTTTAATAAGATATGAAATATGTTGGAACCATGATACTTATCGTTAGAGAGTCTATGGGACAAGTCTGGTTGAATTGAGTTACCGGTATATTTTCATTTTTTCCCACAGAGTATATTCTCTGTGTTTTAGAAATGACCAATAGAAGTAATGTGTACTGAGATATACTAAACCCATTAACAATAAGTGGTGCATTGTTCCCTAACCATGTATAAAGTGTGTGGTCCTATATATAACAGTACATTTGTACCATGGATTATTATTACTTTTTATTACATTGTTACACTTATTATCTCTAATATTCCAGGATACATTTTCTCCTTGCATGGACAGATTATGTCCACCTCCTTATGTTGTAGATTCTTTTCTGAGAATACTCTGTATATGAGCTTAATCAATGCCTAAGAATGATTGTCTCTTTAGATATACTCTCATAGATATGAAATTGTATTGTGTTTTATGTAGTATTGTCTAATAAAGTTGATTTTAATTGTGTCATCACGCATGACGTGGAGACACACGATGACGTCATCATGCCATTACAGAAGTAAGCAAATAGGCGGGCTATATCGTAAGGCATATTGACTGCCACCAAAAATTGCTATAAATATGCTGTAACTTCACCTTTGAACTTAGGGGCCTTCAAAGGGACAGTTCCGTCCCGAGCGCACGGCCCAGCCATGCACGAGACACGTGAGAGCAGAGACCGGAACTACAGACCGGATTGGATGAGGATCATTCCCCATTACTACTTCTCCCGATTAAGAGATATTATTTTGAACACCTCTCCTACAAACAAGCAATTGAACAACTTACTGCTAGTGAACAGATTCAATGCTATGGTCCACATCTACAGCATATACAATATGTGGTGAGATCCAACCATTTTTCATAATTTAAATAGTGCACTTTTTTCAGCCTGTTGAACTCTTTAGTTTTTTTTCATCTTTCTCATTTTTGGTCATTTTTTTCTTATTTTTCTTATTTTTTCCATTTTTTTGTCTTTCTTATTTTTTGTCTTTTTTTCGTTTTTCAATTTTTGCCTCTTCACATCAGGATAATAATCAAGTGGTGTATCCACCTGAATATTTATGAACTTTCAACCTCATGCATATGGTGTTTATGGACTGTACATAGTTGTAAATAGTCTGGGATGTATATATTATGACATTTTGTTACATGTATCATAGATTAATTCATAGAGAGATCATCAATTTATATATTTAGCAATAGTGGTCTCCTTTTTTTCGACTTTCATGAATTTTGTGGATTTAGAGTACAATAAATGAATTTTTTGCATATTTACACAGTGATTCTCTTTTTTTCATGCATTTTTATGCATGTGAGTGCGGTATTAATTGATCAATTTTTATACATTTTTCTATATCCTGCCAAGAATCTTTAGAATCTATTTTGAACCATTTAAAAATATGTTTAAGGATAACAGCATCATGGTACCTTTTTAATATTAGGGATTGCTAGCCCTCCTTTATCTATACTTTTCTCTAAAATCTTTCTCTTTATTCTTGGCTTTTTGCCATTCGATATATAATCAGAAAAAGTTCTGTATTTTATTTAGATTCGATCTATGTAAATATGTGGGAAGAGCCCTAAAAGGATAATTCCATATTGGTAGCACATAAGATTTTATAACGTTAATTTGTCGCAGTCATGAAAGTTCCCAGGGCTTCCAATCATTAAGCATTATAGAAGTCTAATTTAACAGTGCCTCCCAGTTGGCATTTATTAAATTTTTTGAGTGAGAGGTGATAATTATGCCAAGATACTCAATACTATCTGTAGCCCACTTAAAGGTATATTCTTCCTTTAGTCTATCTTGGATTTCCAAGTCTAGATTTAAGCTCATAATAATTGACTAAGATGTATTGAGCTTGTAGTTTGACATGTTTCCTAATATTACTAATTCTTTAAGAAGAGGATTTATTAAGTTTTGAGGATCTGTTAATGTCATTATGACATCACCGGCATATAAACTTAATTTTGCCTCTTTATAGCCATATTGGATTCATTTAATGTTTTTATTCATTCTGATATATTGGGAGAGAGGCTCCAAAGTAATATATAACATAGGAGAGAGAGGGCAACCCTGCCTAGTCCCATTTCGAACCTTAAACCAGGGAGGAATAATACCCAACCCTATTATCCTGGCTAAAGGATTGGTGTATAGAGAAAGAATTGCTTGTAATATCCATCCTTTAAAACCCCTCTTTCTTAATGTTTTGAACATAAAATTCCAACTAACTCTATCGAAAGCTTTATTCGCATCAAGTGTTAATTGGATAGTCTGTTCCATCATTCTATTGGATAGGTCAATCAGATTTACTACTCTGCGGATACTGTCAAAAGGATATCTTCCAGTTACGGATCCTGTTTGCTCAGTATGAATTAG